GATTTATTGTAGAGATGAGGTCTTGCTGCCCAGGCGGGTCTCGAACCCGCGGGCTCAGGCAATTCACTCACCTCAGCCTCCCAAAGGCGCGGGATTACAGGCTGAGCCACCGAGCCGGCCCACCTAATTTAAATTAGCCCATCCCCCACACCTGCTATGCCCTTCCCTCATGGCCGAAGCCCTCATCTCTTCAGGCCTGTGCTTCCTTGCTCTGAAGTCACCTCCTTCACAAGACACCTTCCCTAACCACCCTATTTCTTTATTTTATTTTATTTTTAGAGTCAGGGTCTCACTCTGTCACCTAGGCTGGAGTACAGTGGCACAATCATAGTGTACTGCAGCCTCAAACTCCTTGGCTCAAGCAATCCTCCAACCTCAGCCTCCCAAGTAGCTGGCACTATTACCACCACGTGGGCTAATTTGTATATTTTTTTATAGAGAGAGGGTCTCGCTACATTGCCCAGGTTAGTCTTGAACTCCAGGGCTCAGGCAATTTTCCTGCCTCAGCTTCCCAAAGCACTGGGATTACAGTGTGAGTCACCATGCTTGGCCACTACCCTTTTTAAAATCACACATCCAGTGCGGTGGCTCACACCTATAATCCCAGCATTTTGGGAGGCTGAGGTGAGAGGATTGCCTCAGCCCTTGGGTTCGAGACCAGCCTGGGCAACTTGGTGAGACTTCACCTCTACAATAAATCAAAAAATTAGCCGGGCACAGTGGCGCATGCCTGTAGTTCCAGCTACTAGGAAGGCTAAAGTGGAAGGATTGCCTGAGCCCAGTAGGTCAAGGCTGCAGTGGCTGTCAGTATGCCACTGCGCTCCAGCCTGGGTGACAGAGTAAGACTCCAACTCAAAAAAAATTAAAATCACACATCCAGCTGGGCGTGGTAGATCACGCCTGTAATCCTAGCACTTTGGGAGATGAAGGTAAGAAGATTGCCTGACCCTAGGGGTTTGAAACCAGCCTGGGCAACTTGGCGAGACCTTGTCTCTATAATAAGGAAAAATTAGGCCAGGCTCTGTGGCTCAGCCTGTAATCCCAGCACTTTGGAAGACCGAAGCAAGTGGACTGCCTGAGCCTGCAGATTCGAGACCAGCCCGGCCAACTTTGCGAGACCTCATCTCTACAATAAATAAAAAATTAACCAGGCATAGTAGCATGCGCCTGTATTTCCGGCTACTAGGAAGGGAGTCCAGCAGGTCGACGCTGGGGTGACTGTGAGAGTACCACTGTACCCCCAGTCTGGGTGACAGAGTGAGACTCTGGCTCAAAAATAAATAGGACAGGCTCGGTGGCTTAGCTTGTAATCCCAGCACTTTGGGAGGCCAAGGCGAGTGGATTGCCTGAGTCTGTGGGTTCGAGACCAGCCCGGGCAATTTGGTGAGACCTCCTCTCTACAATAAAAATTTTTAAAATTAGCTGGGTGTGGTAGCATGCGCCTGTAGTTCCAGCCGCTTGGAAGGCTGAGGCGGATGGATCACCAGAGCCCAGCAGATTGAGGCTACAGTGGCCGTGGCGTGCCACTGCATTCCAGCCAGGGTGACAGAGTGGGACTCCAACTCAAAAAATAATAATAATAAATAATAAATGAATGAATGAATAAATAAAAATTATTTGTAAAAATAGGGAAAAGTAAATAAATAAATAAAATCACACATCCTCCCTCAGCTCTCATCCTCTCTCCCTGCTTTCTACTATGACTGACTTCCCAGATGTTTATTTGTTTGTTTATTGTCTCCCCCCACCACCAGTTTGACTGTTAGCTCCATGAGGACAGGGATTGTCAGTTCTGATCACTACTGTATGGCCAGCATCTAGAAAAGTGCCTGGCATATAATAGGATTTCAATAAATGTTTGATGAGTGAATGAAAAAGTGTATATGAATGTTTAAGAGCAGGGACTTTGGCCAGACTGCCTAGAGTCTCATCCTAATTATTCCACTTACTGTGTGATCTTGGATCATTCAATTAACCTCTCTGTGCCTCAATTAATCAAAAGAATAACAACAGTATGTACCTTATAGGATTATTGGGAGATTAAATAAGATCATGCATATACAAAGCTTAAAACAGTGCCCCAGGAAGCACTCACTTCATGCTGTCTGCCATCAGGACCTTCACTTGCCAGCATTTCTTATTTATTTGCTCCCTTGTTGATCATCTGTCTCCCTCTACTCCAGTGTCAGCTCCAGCCTGCCTTGCTCATTACTGTGTCCCCAGTTCCTAGTACAGTATTGGAAAAGAAAATTAGGCCTCCTCCTGAGTCACAGAACGGGGAACTGTGGAGACCCAGCTTTGGCTGGGAGTAGGACCTCACCGATCTGTTTCTCCAGAGCAGCTGCTTCACAGACAGTGGCTCGGGGCAGGATCCCAGGGTCGGTGAAACTCGTCTGTAGCAGGCAGCTCATGACGAAGAAGAAGAGGATGGCAGCGATGACAGGGATGGCAAGGGTCAATTCGCGGGCCAGGTAGGGACAGCTAAAACAAGAGAGAGAGAGATCAGCAGACACCCCAAGGGCTCCCTGGAGCACAGGGCTGCAGTACCAGGCAGGTGTTGTCAATCCAGCAAACACCATCACATTCTTGAACTGAGCCTCTCCCTAAAGCAGAGGTACAGTCCCTTGGTGAGTGCAGTCACTCCCCTTAGAAGTACCTAGAACAGACACCACTAATTCATTCTTGCACCTCCCCTCTGAGTGCGTAGCAGATGTATTCAATAGATCCCAGCACTCCCTTTTTTTTTTTTGAGTTGAAGTCTCACTCTGTTGCCTAGGCTGGAGTGCAGTGGCATGCTCACAGCCACCATAGCCTCGACCTGCTGGGCTCAGGTAATCCTTCCACCTCAGCCTTCCAAGTAGCTGAAACCACAGGTGTGCGCCACCACGCTCAGTTAATTTTTTGATTTATTGTAGAGATGAGGTCTTGCCGACCTGCCCAGGCGGGTCTCAAACCCGTGGGCTCAGGCAATCCTCTCACCTCAGCCTCCCAAAATGTTGGGATTATAGGCATGAGCCACCACGCCTGGCCTTACTAAGGTCTTCTATATGCCAGACAACACCTTCATAAGGAGCAGAAAAATGGCAGTGAAATAGACAAGAGTCCCTCCCTCACGTAGCTTATGGTCTAAAGGGAAAAACAGACATGTACACAGGAAATTGCCTCACAGTGTGATGCGTGCTCTAGCAGGGGAAGGGAAAGCAGAGGAATAGTCAGGAAAGGCTCCCTGAAGGAGATAATGCCTAAGCTCAAAGCTGGAGAATTAGCAGAGATGGGAGAAACAGCATGGTCCAGCCACTGCCATTGTAACTCAAGGAAGGATGTCCCCAAGGCAGTTTTGTTAGGCTCCTTGGCCTTAGTTGGCTCAGAGAACAGCCTGTGCCTGCAGACTAGCCGCATCTCATCTACAAGGCAGGCTGTCTACCACAGGGTTACACATCCCTCTTAAAGCCCCCCCTCCAACTCAGGACTAGAACATTCTAGAAGTCCTAGACACTGGTAGAAGCATGGCTTCATGATGGAGTGAACCTATCAGGGCTCTCTACAACTAATCTTCTATGTTGTCACTCCACTGAGTCATCTTTTGGAAAGATCATGTCATTTCCCCGCCTAAAACTTTCCAATGGCTCCCCATTATACTTTGAATAAAATCCAAACTCCTTACCACACAGCCTTCTAGGCCAGGCATGATCTGGAGCCTACTGAAGACTTCTCTAACTTCATTCCACAAAACTCTCCCCTCACTTCCTCTACTCCCATCACATTGGTTTCATGACAGTTCCCAGCACAAGCCTCTTTCCCACCTCAAGGCCTTTGCACTTGCTGTTCCTTTTCTCTGGAACCCTCTTCTCTCCTCAGAAGGACCTTCCTTGACAACTCTGTAGAAAGCAGGCTTCCCCAATACTCTATTTCCTGCATAGCATTTAGTACAGATTTGAGTTACTTGTCTGTTTACGTAATGACTGCTTCTCCCCTACTAGTACATAAGCTCCGTTGTGGGTACAGACTGTGCTTTCTTATATACCCTTATATTCCCAGCACCTGGCACCAAGGAAGGGCCCAGTAAAGAACCACTGAAAGAACAACCTAAGTCCAGGGATTTGAGACTAGCCTGGGCAACTTGGCAAGACCTCATCTCTACAATACACGAAAAAGAAAAATTTAGCCAGGTGCGGTGGCATGTGCCTGTAGTTCCAGCTACTTGGAAAGCTGAGGCAGAAGGATCACCGGAGCCCAGCAGGTTGAAGCTGCCATGAGCATGCTGCCACTGCACTCCAGCCTGGATGACAGAGTAAGACTCTGACTCAAAAAAAAAAAAAAAAAAAAAAATTGTTCAAAGAATGAATGGATTTTCCCTGGTGCCAGGGGATAGAAAAATAGCTACCACTTTTTGAAGGCTTACTGTGTGCCACTGCCCTAATTAGCAAATTATTATCAATAATATCTGAAGTACAGATAGTTACTATGTGCTAAGTACTATGCTAAGCACTTCACATGAACTTTGTCATCAAATCCTCACCACGATTCTCTGAAGTTATGTTCCTCACTCTATAGATGAGGAAACTAAAGCTCAAAAAGCTTGTTACCTGCCTGAGGTCACGTGGCTCAGGAATGTTAAAGTGGGACCCACACCAGGTCTGATTTTGAGGCCCATGCTATTAACCACCGTCCTATACTGCCTCCCCTCCCAGAGCCAGAGCAGCACCTGATGGGGTGAGGAGCTGCTATTTGGGAGATGACTGGCCACTGGGAGGCCCAAGGTCAGCCAAGTTTCCAGGGGTGGCACAGTAGCAGGAAACAGACCTATTGCCATCTGTATGCTGTTTCTGAATCTTCCATCATCAGATGATCTGGACTCCAGAGAGGCCCTTCCCTGAGGAGCAGAGACTGCTGAAGCCAAGGGCTCCCAGTGGACCACACTCTGCTCCATACATTTTAATGCTCCCTAGGACCAACCATCAAACAGAACCAGCAGACCCTCAATATCACCCATGTGGCAACTGGGTGTATATGAACATGTACAGCTCGTGTACAACTTCCTTGCAGGACTGAGACTTGAAATCTGAGACTTGTAGAGCCCACAGGAACCAAGGCCTGGCCTCCTGATTTTGCAGAAGGGGACTTCTGAGCCCACAGCTAGATTCAAGGTCACCCACGCAGCCAGTGACAGGATTGGGGTCTCCAGGCTCCCAGCAAATGCTCTGTTCATTCATTCAGTCAACAAATATTTACTGTATTGAGCACCAACTACATACCAGGCACTGGTTCTTAGCACTAAGGATACAACTGTGAGGAGAATCATGCCCTGCTCTCCTGGACAAAGCTAAGCAAGAAACTAACAAACAAGCACACATATAAGTGGCAAGTGCTTCAGAGAACAATAAATGAGGGTAGAGAGGAGAGTGTGCTATACTGTGTATAGATAAGGAAGGGCTGAAGTGAGAGGGTGAGCCATGTAGCTATCCACAGGAAGGGGAATCCAAACAGTGCAAAGGCCCTAAGGTAGGAATGTACAAGGGGGCCAATGCGTCTGAAGGGAATGCACAGCAGGGAGTAAGGGAGATGGGGACAGAAAGGGAGCAGGGGTCAGAGGCCAGGGAAGATGAGAATCTGATTTAGAATTAAAGAGGCAGCCAGGTTCGGTGGCTCAGCATGTAATCCCGCGCCTTTGGGAGGCTGAGGTGAGTGGATTGCCT